TTTGGACACTTCGGTTTGATGTGCCCGACCTCCCCACAACCATAGCACTTGGGAGGGCCATCATACTTCTTCCCCTTACGGTCAAATTCCTTTCTCATGAATTTGTGGAATTTCTTGATGACGAGTCCGAACTCGCTATTGTCATCAAGTGATTCCTCTTCAACCGTTTCCTTGGTTGCTTTTAGAGCAATCCCCTTTTTCTTTTGATCACTTAAAGAAGGGGTTAGAATAGTTGACTCATAAGTTTTAAGATTACCTCTTAACCCGTCAATGGTTACGTTTGAGATTCCAATGGATTCGTAGATCGCATCCGCCTTGGATCTCCATTCGGGAGTGAGGCTACGCAGGATTTTTCGTACTAAATCCTTGTTGGTGTATGTCTTCTTGAGAGCATGAAGATCATTGATGATCTTGGAGAAGCGTTCAAACATCTCATCGATCTTCTCGCCCTCTTTCATCCTGAAAAGCTCGTATTCCTGCGTAAGAAAATCGATTTTAGCTTCACGTACCTGATCCGTACCTTCGTACGTGACTTCAAGCTTATCCCACATCTCTTTTGCGGTTGTGCAACAAGAGATCTTGCGGTAGTCGTCGGGATTCACTGCGCAATAAAGCATATTGATTGCTTTTGCGTAGTTCTCAATCTTCTTGATGTCCTCGGCATCAAATTCATCTTCGCTTTTGGGAACAAGTGTTTCTCCCACTTTCTTCATAGGCGTTTCTTCGCCATTTTTGATGACCAACCATAATTTGAAGTTGGTAGAGCGGATATAGATTCTCATCCGCTCTTTCCAATACGTGTAGTTGGTGCCATCAAACAATGGTGGCCTAGAAGTGGATTGGCCTTCTCCGATTCCTGCATACAAATTTTTGGAAGTAGAACCCATGATCGCTTTTACTCTCAAACGGTTAAGTTTGGACGCGAGTTAGGCTCTGATACCAATTGTTAGAATAAAGGACCAACGCTAGAGAGAGGGTGAATAGCGTTTGATCAATAAAATCGCAGGAATTAAAATTTTAAAGGAATATAAAGCGGAAATAAAAGAGAGAAGAAGGCACACCAAGATTTATACTGGTTCACCACAACGTGTGGCTAATCCAGTCTCCCGAGAGACTCTCTCGAGCTACGCTACTACCTTGTTAAGCTTAACGGTGTTCAACGAAACCTTACAACTTGAGAGTTCGAGTCACACGAACCTCAATGCTATCCTCAAAGGAAACAGCCCTTCCTTTGAACAATGAGAGAAGACTCTTCTCTCCAAGTGTCTAAGAACACCAACAAATACTCAAGAACAGGACTCTCTTATAGAGTGAATATGAGTAAACTTTATACGCTCAAGAACAACTCAATGACTTCACAAATTGGCTCTCAAAGAAGCTAAAGAATGAGAAGAATTTGAATGCACTGTAAACAATGGATTGTGAAGAGCGTTGATCATGAAAACAGACCCCAAGCACCCCATTTTATAGTAGAAAAATAGGCTCCAACGTTCAAAAACATTAATGGGGTGATTAGCTTGATTTGTGGGATTAAAACAAATTTGGGATCTGTAGGAAACTGCCTGACCAGCGATGGTCACATACTACCCATCGCTGGTTAGTGCAAAAATTTCCTATTTTTAAAACAAACGGTTACCTGACCAGCGATGGTCATCAGTACCACATCGTTGGTTTGTATGTTGACTACTTCAATTAGGAAAGGATCAAGCATTAAACCTTCCAACGGTCAGTGCTACCCAGCGATGGTCTAAGCTTACCATCGATGGGTGACCAGCGATGGGTGTAATGCACCATCGCTGGTGAATGACTTACTGGAATGGGGTATTATTTGAACCCAGGCTACCCAGCAATGGGTGGAACTCACCATCGCTGGTTGATGGCCTATTGGATTTCTTTCAAAGCTGAAGCATGCCTTACCAGCGATGGGTAATGCCTACCATCGCTGGTTTTGAGATGGTCTGAAGACCAGCTAACCAGCGATGGGTAATGCTTACCATCGCTGGTTGGGTGGTTTGCCAGCTTGGTACAAGGAACCATCTGACCAGTGATGGGTGAAGTTTACCATCGCTGGTTGGGTGGTTTACCAGCCTGGTCTGAAGACCATCTGACCAGCGATGGGTCTGAGATGACCATCGCTGGTTGGGTGGTTCGCCATCAAATCAGCAAAAGCTCTCCAAAGATATTTCATTGATTAAAAACGTGTTTTGGTTTGGAGAGTTATTAAAACACATGTTTTGAAAGGTTTTTCACAAAAGACATATTTGAAAAGTATTTTGATGTTATGCAAATGCAAGAGAGAATTCTTTAGCCTAAAGAGCCAATAGATGAGTCTTGGGTCGATCTTGATCACAATAGGATTGACTCAATACATTTACACCTAAGTCTTTGTTCTTGGTTCTCTTTTAGGCTCTCGTTCTCGTCTTCTTGATTCTCGCCTTGTGTATTCTTTTCTTGCGTTTGTTTCACGGCGGTTTGGCATTATCAAAACCTGTAACAAAAACAGATACGGCTTTAGTATTACGAAGTGATAAACCGTGATTCAACACCATCTTCATTAGACCTCACCACCATCGTCCCCGCCGACACCATCGCCGCCAACCCCCACCACCATCACCCAACTCCACTGTCATCGCCAGCCCTACCATCGCCACAAACTGCCACCATCGTTATACCTGGGAAAAAGAGAAGAAGTAACGGAATGAAAGAGGAGATGAAAAAGAAAATGATGACAATGTTCAAAGCGTAGATCCACATAGATCTACCACAAATCTCCACAGATCTGAGAAGACAAGCAGGGGAATGAAGGGAGAAAAGAAGAAAAAGAAAGGAATAGGAGCTAATTTGAGAGAGAGAAGGGATAGGAAAGAAGGGGCCAGGTAGAGAAGAAGAAGAAGAATGAGAGAAGAAGGAGGAGGGGATCGGGTGGGGGGAGAGAGGAAAAGGAAGATACAGAGTAGATTAGAAAGGGTAGCGACGGGTGAGGGATAAAGAGCCACGAGATTAGTGAGGGTGAGGGAGGGTATTTTTGGAAGAGTGTTGATAAAAACGTAGAGTGGGAAGATTATTTCCGGACGAAAAAAAACGTAGAGTGGGAAGATTATTTCCGGACGGAGGGAGTATTATTTTTCTCCACCCTGTATAATGAACTTTCCCCATACAATTTTCTTCTCAAATTAGAACATTTTTCTATCATGATTTACTCTCTTATTGTTCTATAGTATGAGTGCGCTCACCTTTTTAAATAGAAAATCATCATATCTTTTACTTCTAACAAATGCCATTCTCTTTCAAACAAACAAAAAAAATGCCATAATATGTTTCGTGTAATTCAGTGAGAACTTCATTTTTTGTCATAAAGCATATACGATTACTTTTTCTTGGTTTAGTATAGTGAAATTCAGTGAGACTTGTTAATGCATTTGCACTTACAGATAAATTTAGTGAACGATTTAAGGCTAATAGCATGGGTGTCAATGTGGTTTATAAAAGGAGCACCAAAACTCCATCTGTTTTCGAATATTATTTTTAAAACCCACATTGTTTCTAAATGGTGCACCCACGCCTCATAAACCTATTTTCAAACTTAAAATTACATGTATGTCCCTTTTTCCAATCATGAAGTTTCTCTTTTATTTACAATTCTCCTTCGTTATAGCTCTCCATCTCAAATTTTTAAAGATATTATTCATTTATTTATAAAACAAAATAAATTTTTTTGCATACAAAAATGAAAAAAACAATCTATACAGAGTAAAAGAAAAAAAGAAATAAAAAAGATAGCAAAAGAAAAATAAAAAACACTATGTTTTTTATTTCAATTAAAATTGAAATAAATTGTCCTTTTTGAAAGTGAAAAATAAATTAAAAGAGTGAAACTCCATGATAGAGAGAAAGAATGACATAAATGTCACTTTAAGGGACATGAGTCATGATCTCGTTATATTTAAAATGAATCAATTAATCAATTGTCCACTTGAGGAGAGTACAAGTATCCCACATAAAAAATTGTAAAGAAAAAGCAATTGGTATATACGGAATAAATTTTTGAGTTGAACTAAATTAGAATACCGAGTACTTTTCTTCAATATCACGATTTTTTGAGCGGAAGTAATTTGATCTTAAAATCACCTAAAGGACCTACAATGTTGCATCGGTAAAATTGATTGTTTATACCCCTCCACCTTGCCCAAACCCTAGCCCCTCTACCCCTTAGATTGCCGATTTAAGCTACCCAAATCAACGATCTAATAAGATAAAAATTATCAATTTTATTAACAAAAAATAGTAGGTATCCTAGCCCAAGTCGTTCTCAAGTCATTTTTTATTCGGGTCAAAAGTCCTCTCTAATAATGTGCGCCAAAAATGAATTAAGTAAACAAATACTACCTCTGTCCCGCTATATTTGTCCACTTTTGACTTTTAGAACTGTTCATCTAAGCACTTCGACTCATCAAATTCTCTCTATGTGTAAGCCTAAATATAGTCATGTATGATCTTTTTTGATTTGTCTTAACATATAGATTATTAATATATAATATCTATAATTTTTTAATATACAAATTACAAGATAAAATGGATTAAAGTAGTGCATTGGATGGTGTGCAAAAATAAAAGTGGACAAATACTCTGGGATGGAGGGAGTAAATAAATACTCCCTCCGTCCCAGTATATTTGTCCAGTTTGACTTTTTCAAGTCAAACTAGACAAACTTTGAGCTTCAATTAAATAAAAATTGTAATGTAATTTAACATAAAAATGACGTTATTAGATTTATTGTATTGAGAACTTTCAAAATTATATTTCATTATGCAATATGCAATATAAATTGAGAGTAATTGGAGTTCAAAGTTTGTCCAGTTTGACTCGAAAAAGTCAAACTGGACAAATACACTGGGACGAAGGTAGTACTAAATAATAGAGTGTCCCTTCATCCAACCCTCCCACAAATTAGATAAATCAAGACACTTATGTAAGACTCGCTCGAAAAAAGTCAAATTAGATGAATATCCAGGAATAAGAGAAATGAATAAATAATACTAGTAAAAACAAATTGAGTTCGAGCATTAATACATAGAAGTATTTTTATTTCAGAGATTGAACACAATGACAATATCTCTCTCCACTAATAAAAACCAATGAAAGAAGAATGTATGCTCAAACCGCCACAGCTGTGTTCTCAACCACCAGTTTCTGAGCAGAGGTGTCGCCATCAATGGAAGCAGCAGGAGGCGCCGGTGGTGGTGATGGTGGTGGGGTGGCTTCATAAGCGGAATCATGGATGCCGAGTGCAGCACGGCCAGAGGGGTCGGGATTCTTGGACCACGATGCATCCCATTCTACAGCCTTTGCAGTGCTACATGCCACACTTGGTCCTCCCGGAACCGTTGATCTTGCAGCATTCTGATGATCAATTAAATCCATTCCCAGTTCATAAATTAACCCAAAATGTGATGAGAGATGGTGGGGCCGGGGCAATGTTTACAAAACCAGACCGGGCAGTCGGTCAATATGATTCAATTCAATATCATTCAGTCAAGTCTAGTTCAGATCAGCACCTATAAGTTCAGCTCAATATCGCTCGTTTCAATCAAGTATTATGGTTCTGGTTCTTTTAGCACCAACCTTGATGTCATAATACGACACCCTGTCCATTTGAGAGCCATATGGCGCTTTGTTTGACCCAATCAAGTATTATTATTTTTATGAATGTTTAGTTCAGTATAAGTTTTACGGAGTATTCATTTCAATATTTGTAAGTTCAGTTCAGTACCTATTAATTCATTTCAATTAAGTCAAGATAAACTAAATAACTACTCCGCATAAATGAAATTCAGATAAGTTCAGTATCCCAAATTAAATACTCCGTACCAATAATATACGGAGTATACTTTTCAAAATAACTTTTGGCACGTAATATAAATATAGTGACCAGTCCGACCAACGTTAGATGTGTTTATACCCAGCCTTTCAGGTCCGACCAATATTGTTGTTTTATTCTGAGGTCGAAAGAAGCTGGGTTTTCCCTACTCCCAGACAGGTCATAGTGACCAGTCCCCGAGTTTTCCAATGCAACCAGCAGGGTTGGTCTGGGTTTTTAAGACATTAGTAGTGATAGGACTAAGGAGTGATGGAG